AAAATCGAGGATACACCGGATACTGATAAATCCAAGAAAATGATACCTACTAAATCATCTTCGTATGGGCCACAAAATGAAAATACTTTAAAAACTTCTGACAAAGAAGATAACGAAATTCAATCAATTGCATCACGTCTCAATCGAGGCCATTTACTTTTAACATTAATAGACCAAATTCGGTCTGTTAATCTTATTTTATTGGAAACTTTGTTGGTAAAAATTAAATATTTTTTACAAGCTGAACAGGAAGGGATTGGAAAACAAGCAATAAAGAAAGCTTTATTTAATGCATTAAGTACAGGGTTGGATTATACAAAAAAAGACACCGGTGTTAAATGGTGGTTATTAGAAGGACCCAAACTTTGATAAGCTAAGTTTGGTATATATCAGAAATTGTTAGTGTAGGTGTTATTTAGTTATGAATTTTACATTCATATTCTAGTTTTATATCTCGTAGGGAAAATTGTATCTATCTGCAGTTATATCTTTGTTAAAATAACTATTTCATTAATAGATTAACATTATTATGTCTTAATGACATAAAGATTACTCGTGCCTGTGATAAACATTTAAATCTTTGTATTAGCTTGCAAATTCGAATAAATTTCTATTATATTAAACTTTTTAATTTAGACTATATATTTTGTAAAATATTGCAAAATTTGCAAATTTTTAAAATATTGCAAATAAGTTTGTATTACAAGATTATTATTATTTTGTTTTTATTTTTTTATTATATTTGTTTTTTTTTTTTGATTTTTTTTTTTGTTTGATTTTTTTTTTATCTTGGTTATCTTTTTTTTTAGATTAAATATTAAAGTAATACCAAATAATCTAGAGATAAATATTAGTTCTCTTTTGCTATTTTAGTTATTTTTTTATTTTGAACTAATTTTTTTTTTTTTTCTTTCTAGCCTTGCTAAAATGTAAAATAATAAACTATAAAAATTAATAAGAAAACTGATCCAAGTATTAATTGTTTTTTTTTTTTTTTTTTTTTTTAACTCTTTGACAGTCTTGTCGGTACCTTTATTACTAGATAATTACTTTTACATA